GGTTAGGAAATGATACCGTCTGATCTTTTTAGAGAAAAGAAAAAGGGACCCTACAGTGTGGATAAACCACACTGTTCTGGAATGCACCTGACATGTCTGTGGCCCTCTTGAGCACGGGGCCACTTCATTGATCTAATAATTCCAAACCATTGTTTATTCACTAATGGATTATCTCTGAAGTCTACATTGAAGAGGGAAGTTTCTTTATCAAACTCAGGAATAAAGGAATCCAAGTGGAAAATCAAGACTTGAAGACAAAGCCAGCCTCTTGTTTTGAACATTTACCAACATGCATCAGGAAAAGGAAACCATAAATACCTATTAAGATACTTGTGTATGACTTTAACAATACGTAAAATATGGACTGGCTTACTGAATGAAGTTTGTTTCCTTGCACTAAAGAAAATTACTAAAAGCAAAAAAAAAAATAGGGGCCATTAATGAAAGTGGAAAAGGTTGGGCAGGAAGCAAAAGATTTCGTTCTCCTTTGCAGTTCGCCTGGCAGAAGAGAAACCTACTGGGGAAAGAAGTAAAAAGTGACGGCAGACAAGAGGAGATGATAGCAGGGTAAATCCCAGGGACAGGGGAAGAAAGGAAGAAGTAGGCCTGGAGAAGAGAGGATGAAAATGCCTGGAGATGTGCTCAAACTAACTTCTTTGAGTGTGGGTGTTAATTGTGGAAAGAACCAAAAATACTTTGGTGCTATTTCTGATTGGTGGTCAGTAAGTTGATCAAAAACAAAGTATAAACCCTGAAATTAGCAAATGTGTGTGAGAGAGAGAGAGAGAGAGACAGACAGACAGAGAGACAGAGACAGAGAGGAGGGAGAGGGAGAGAGATTAAGACTGTGTTTTATAAACTGACGGTGAAAGCAATTTCTACGAATTCCTGAAGTGTTTTGAGCAGCAGGAACACTATCATTGGAATAGTCCCTTTTTACCCCAAAGTTAGCTAATTTGAAGGAAGAGAAAATGCTCTTCCAAGAACCCCACGGAGTCTGATCCCGATGTGAGCACCCACTCTAGAAGACCTGCCTACCATGGAGTCTCCAGAGCAGGAATGGCAAAGAGGCTCCACCTTGCCTGCCAGCTCTCACTCTCTCACTTCAAGTTTTATATTGGGAAGTTTCGTGAAGGAAGCAGGCAAATCCAGCAGGTAGGAGTTCTGGCTTCCACTAGCCATGTCTGCCACCTGTGCAGAAATGGGGTTTTGTGGATGGATGGATGCTGCATGTTTTTTAAACCTGCCCTAGGCTGTACACAATCCTTCCTCACATACGTGAACTTTCCGGTTTCTTTTCCTTTGTTGTTCTGAAATCCCCACATGTTAAAAACTTTTTAGGAAAATAGATACCTTCTAAAACTCATGTTCCACTGGAGGCCCTTGATTCATTTACTAATTAGTTTAAAGGAGTCTTATTATGATCCTTCTCACACCAGGCTAAGGTCAGCATCTCTGACAGGATTTGAGTTTTGTTTGGAGAGTTGGGAAGAAAGGAAGTGACTAATTTGGGGACATGCAACAGTTTGGGAGATGGCAGGAATATATGGAGAAAGCTTGGTCAGAAGGAAGGCATTGGTACCCTAGGGTGAAGAATTGGTGCAAAGAAAGGGCACCAAGACAGTGTTGGGTGGGTGCTGTAGGCACAATTTTTCTTATTTAGCAATTTGCTCAGGTTGTCTGTTGTTCTGGCCAAAAGAACAAAGGCTCTTCTTTCTTCTGCTGGTTTCTTTTAAACCTAAAGTCTGGGTCTCGTGGTGGTTGAATAGGCATTGACAGTAAGTGTTGAACAAGACAGGAATTAGATCATTAAAAAAAAATCAGAGAAGGCCAAGAGATCAAAATCATTTAGATTGTTTGCTTCAAATTAGCTTATATTTCTTTGCTTTTGGTTCATACTTCCGTGATGCCCTATTTTCTGTGTCAATTACTAATCATGATATTAATGAAATCATAGATGAACATAGATGTATTTGACAAAGGTAAAAGATCTTTGTTGTAGTGTGTGTGCGCGTGGAATGAAATTCTGTGGAGGGAGGGTATCTTAGGGCGGATGGATTGTTTTTTAGTTATTACTTCAAATATAAATTTCCTCCACTGAAATCTATTGTTGAGGAATTAATCTGCTCAATATTTGGAGAGAAGCTGCTATTACTTGCAAGTGACATGTGCCTATTGACCCCACGTCTAAACTCCATGGAGCTATGGCATGTTACACTCACCTTCATTTAGACGGTAGGGAAAAGATTTAATAGGACCAGAGAAAAGATTACCAAGACGTGCTTGCTATTGCTATCATGAAACCCTTGACAGCCTTGCACTACTTACAAAATAGAAGGTCGAGGAGAACTGGGCAACAATTAGCTTCTCTTTATGTAGTTAATGCAGGGCTTAAAAAAGACATCCTATTAATTTCTTTCTCCCTGTGTGTAATTTACAGTAAATCCTCTTGAATTCATTTTTTAATTATGAGCCTTTCAGGAACAGTGAAAATTTATGTGTCAGGGCATCTGTTTTATTTGACAAGAATCTATAACCTTCCTCAACTGTCTCCCTTCAGACTTAGAATGTCAATACTTGCATGAAACAAGGTGGGAGAAGACAAATAACTGCTGGCCAGACTGACCCCCTTTTCATAAGGGCAAAGTGTTCTCCTTCCGAAAACTGAGCCATCCCCAAAATGCTAGAATATTCTCTCAGTGCCATCTTTGGGGAAATTGGATACTTATTAAGTTTGGTTTATATAGTATTGTTTTTCCATAATTTATAGCATTGGAAGAGACTCCTGGAGAATAGATGGGCGCAGAGCTGAATTATAATAAATGGTCTATTCCTCACACCTATTGCATCTATAAATTGTTGGCCTAGGTGCTTCTTTTCAGCTGTCTCTGTGTGGGATGTTTACAGCAAACCATCAACATCTGCTGGGTTAGTCCTCAGTGAGGTTAGGTGGCTGTTAGCTTAGAATCATCTCTGATTTGGCTTGTAGCAGAACTGGATTTGATTCAGGAGCTGTGTTTGGGGGAATCTGCAGAGGAGTACAGAGGAATGTTGGTGTTTCTGAGACTGGGAATGCCAGTAAAGAGGGAAAGAACAAGAAAACATCAAAGGTGTCCAACAGAGGCAATTTTGTTTCCCACGGAGCGCTGCGCACCACAGCTTGGCTCTGTATTTCCTTTCACTGCTATTTGTTCCCAGTGAAAAAGCCCTCTTTGGGTTTTCTGGGCTTAGGAGCTTTTCCAGATCATTAGCCACTTCTGTGGAGAGGGCCTGCTGGGGATCCTTTCTGCAGCTTCCAGCTCAGCCGTTCCATCCCAGCAGAGCTGGAGAAGAAGGTGGGAGAAGGAAGTGGAAATGGAGATTTGATGAAGTGACTGCTTATGTAAACTGGACCAGAGGCAGCTACCTGCACGGGAGTTGGTGTGTGTTTTTCTCAGATCTGTTATTCCCAAGGAATTTCTATCTAATTCTGTTTGCTTTGACTCCACACTTGGTTTTGAAAGGCAGCATGCCATGGTGGAAAATGTACTTAATTTGTGATCAAAAGATTTGGATTTGAGTCTCATTTCTGTTAGCATCCAGTGAGCTATTTGGCTTTCAGCAAGTCACTCCACCGCTTTGAGCTTCACCTTCCTCTTCTTTAAAATGGGCAAAAAAATATGTTACAGCCAGATTGAGAGGAGATGAGTAGCTGCTGCTGCCAAGCCAAGTGGAAAACCAAAAGCACATATCCAAATAAAAGCATTCCATGGATTTTGATTCCTCAAAATGTGAAAGAAAAATGAAGGATAAATTTGGTGTGCAGGTGAAATGTACAATAATGCAATCATAAAAATCAAGTAGATAATGTGTGCAGAAAGTATCTTATAGCTGGTAGACAATTATGAGGAGCAAAGGTCAAATAGCCATATCTTTCTCATTTATCACTTATACCAGTGACCCCTTGACTGTTAACTGATGACAGTCATGTTTCAGAATCCTCAACACATCCACAATATGAATTGAGAAAAATTAGGGTTACGAGAATTTAGCTCATGAGCATCATTCATTAAACATAAATTGTGTCATTTTCTGCAAGGCAAAGTATTACATTTTGGGGATACTGGAATCAACATAGAGCTAACAGACTTGAAAGATCACAGAAATTAAAATATGAGAAATTATGTTTTCTGCACATTATGAGATGTTGTAGGTAAAACTCTCACATAGCTCCTGGCATATAGTGAGCTTTCAGTCATGCATAGCTTTAAATATTATCGGTACTTTTTATTCAATTAACATTTTTTGAAGTCAGAGAAAACAATATATTTTATTTTCAGAAATAACAAATAGACTTTAATCAGACCTCTCTGATTTCAACTTAAGCAATATAAAATTCTAAGGAGGAGTCAGGATGCTACTGATTTAAAGCCAGCTTGGTGGCATATATCCTACATTAACGCAGTTATCAAATATATGAACAAGTTCTGAATAGCAGAGACATTGTAGACATGAATCTGAAGTGCAAAAGCAAGGCAAACTCTAGGTACCATCAAGGGAGTGCTGAGGCTCACGTGACCTAATGGCAAGCTTACCTTAACACTGTCGGTTGGAAGAATTATCTCATTGACCCACCGCTTACACTGTTACTAGTCATCACTCCTGGGGTATGGTTCAGTGCAGCAGGGCAAGAAATAACTTTACTGACTCCCTGAAGCTATAGATGATGGATTTTAGATCCCTGGCTGCATTCAGAAGGCATGGAAGCTCGGAGGACGGGTAGAGGAATTCATTAGCCACCTACCCCATAGCATCATATGCTTAGATCCTGATGCTGTCACTGCTGCTGTTTCCACTTGTTAGTGTTTCCCTGATAGATGGCAGAGGGAACTGTATAACTCTATTAGCCTCAAAGATGGTACTGACAGCCAGAACTGTCATTTCTCAGCCTGAGAAGACACCTTTGGAAACCAGAATCACTTAAAAACACTTAGATAGGCCCGTTGATCGACCAAACTAACCTTCATCCTGAAGTCAGTTTGTGCTCAGGATGACAGGAGATGATTGGCAGTTATGTTTCATATTCTATTCTTGACTCCTTAGTTAACCTCTTCTATTCAGTTTATTTTTCTACTCCATTTTTTATGAAATGACAGGTAATTTAATGGCACAGATGATTATTTCCTACATTTGGTTAAGACTGTATCTTTAGAGATCATCTTATATTACTACCATTACTATCACTTACCACTAATATTGATTGACAAAGTACCAGCTACCAGATGCTGTGTAAGGAGTTTGTTTACATTATCTTATTGTGAGCTCACAACAACTCAATGAGGTAGTCACTATTAATATCCTCACTTTATGAATCAGGCAACTAATGTTTAATGATGCCAAAGAATTTTCCCAAGATAGTACTGCTAATAAACGGCTAAGCAGGCATTGAAATCCAGTTCTGACTTTTAATTACATTATAGTCCTAATGAAAGTTTCAAAGTAGAAAGTGTAGTGGTGATCATTTTAATTCAACACGTATTTATGGAATAGCAATTTATTTGGAGTTGGTGGAGATATGAAGAGATTTAACATCAAGGAGGGAAGTAAATATTGTACATATGACCCTGGTTTAAGGCAGCATGGGCTATATACCAAAGAAGGTAAGAATATTGCTGGTTGGAGAGATTAAAGAAATGTAGACAGACAGGGTGGGTCAGATTTTGACTGGTGGAACCTGAAGAAGGGACATGCCAGATGAAGAGACTAGAATGAGTATAGCTTCAAAGGGAGGAAATACAGCCTATCTCAAATTAGTGAGGTGTTCAGTTTGAGCAGAATAAACGGCTTGAGGGATAAGGCAGAGAGTGTGGACTAACACAAAGAGCACATCTTTTAAAGGCAAGTGGTCTGTGATTCAAGATCTCACTCTGCCTCTAACCAGCTCTGTGGCCTTAGATGAATTATTGGGCTGCTCTGTAAAATGAAGATAGTAATAATAATAATGCCACCTTGCAAGTCTGTGTGAAGATTTATAATAACATATGTGAATATGTTGTTAATGAGTCTGGTTCACAGTAGATGCTAAACTAATAATAGCTGTGTTTTCAGGTTTTTAAAAAATTCCTTCTTTCTGTGTAGTTTAGGTCTGTAGTGGGGAAGACTTGAATGTCATGCTGATAGATTGCTTCTGGAAGAAGTGAGAAGACATGAACATCTTTGAGGAGAAGATGAAATGCCCAAAGTGTAATTTTTAGGAAGATTATTTGGGCTTTGTTGAAAGAATGTTTTTCAACGGGTTCAAGGAGAATAAATAACAAGTCATTGTTTAAGTGGTCAAGGGAAAGCATCTTTAAGAATTTATTCTATGATGATGATATTAGGAAGGTAAAGAGGATGAAACAAAAGGATATTTCAGAGGGAGAGAATCAAGAGATATTGCTGGCTGATTGGGAAAAGGAGGGAAGTAAGGAAAGTGTAGACTTGGAAGGTTGTGATTTCATTAACAACAACAAAACAGAGACAAATAAGAAAAACTAATTTTAGAGTGAGATCAGAGTTTGGCTTTGATATCGTAACATATAAGGCATCCAAGAATCAATCTGTAGAGGTTTTCAAGAGGAAATGTGTGATGAACTCAAATGAGAGATAAGGACTAGAGGTACGGACTTCTATGTCATTCCGGTCCCCTCACTAGGAATTCTCCATTTCTTCCCTTGGTAGTTGTCATGAGTGTTACTAACTCAGAGCCCGAAGACTCAAGGTCTAGTTCCAGCTCAGCCACCAACCAGCAGTTATCTCATGTACCGGTGGATATATCGATCCTGTGCTGCCAACCTCATAGGACTGTAGGGAAGATCAAATGAGAGAATGCATGTGAATGTGCCCTGTTACCATTGAAAGAGATACAAAATAAGTAAGATTGTTTTCGTAATAATATTGTCATGTCCATAATACTGGTATGCCCACCACCCAACAGGGCTCTGGATGCCTAAAAGCCCTGTGGTTGGAGACTTGGAAATGAAAAGCTAAGAGATGTTAGACTGGTTATAGTTTTCAACAGGGGGGTTAGCAATCAGGCAAATGGCAGATCAGTGCCAAAATGTGGACGACTGGACTGCAGATCCCATGACCCCTTGTGGTCCTCAAATGAGGTTTTTATCTGGTGTGCCTCTCTCAGACCCTGCAACTCACTTCTTAGAGCATCACTTTGGGGGAGACAGTTTGGATTTAAGGTCATACTACAGTTCCCTAAGGAAAAATTCCCTGCTGCCGTTGATCACCTTGTGCGGTGAGGCATGGAATCTGATTACCCTTATCATTATCATAGCTTGGATAGCCACAAATGTTACTAACAGTCATAAAATCATTCAGCCCTTTCTTAAGTGAGAACTGCAATATTTAGGTTACTAAACCCTTTGGGAAATGAACTCCACTGGTTGACTTTTCATGGCTACAAACTCATGTTCTTCCCCAAAGGCATGCATCTTTTTGTAGTCACTGCTGTATTTGCTGTTTTATTTATTGTCCAAGCAGTTTGCTAGTCATTTTGTATATATTAGCTCATTTAGTCCTCACAACACTAAGTTGGTGGGATTACCTGTATTTTACAGATTAAGAAACTAAAACACAGAAGATTAAGTAACCGTTTGTTCACAGTGTTAAGGGAAGGAAAGAGGACTACATATTGGTATGTCTGATTCTAATGTCATATATACTCCTTTCGAGAATTACCTATTCAAGGCTATAATTAACAAGACAAGAAATAACACATATTGGAGAGCATGTGGAGAAAAGGGAGCCCTCATACACTGCTGGTGGTAATGTAAACTGGTGCAGACCCTGTGGAAAACAGAATGGAGATTTCTCAAAAAATTAAAAATAGAAATACCATATGATCAAGCTATTCCACTACTGGGTATTTATCAGAAGAACATGAAATCTATAATTCAAAAAAGACATACGTACCCTTGTGTTCATTGCAGCATTATTCATAATAACCAAGATGTGGAAGCAACCCAAGTACCCATCAATGGATGAATGGATAAAGAAGATGTGGTATATATATATATACTACCAGACAAAATTGTGCCATTTTCAGCAATGTGGATGGTCTTTGAGGGTATGATGTTAAGCAAAATAAGTCAGACAGAGAAAGACAAATACTGTGTGATTTCACTCATATGTGGAAGATAAAGAAACAAGCGAACACATCGATAAGGAAAACAGGTGTTTACTAGAGTGGAAGGGGGTGGAGAAAGGGCGAAAGGAGTACAGGGGCACATGTGTATGGTAACAGATAAAAACTAGACTATTGGCGGTGATCATGATGCAGTCTACACAGAAACTGATATATAATAATGTATGCCTGAAATTACACAATGTTGTAAGTTATGGCCTCAGTAAAATAAAGGGGAAAAAAGAATTACCTCTTCAATTTTGAGGCTGGATATGGTGAAATCAGCAGGATCTATGATATGGTTTTTGTTTTTTTAATATACACAGTTAAGAATGGTAAACAGAAACAGAAAGATGGAACACAGTATTTTGGCTAAAGCAGAATACAAAATTGGAACTAAGTCGTTTTCTTTTTTGATTCAAAGTTCTTCATTTCACATTACATTTGATTGCTTCCCTGTATTTATTTTTTGTCTCAACAGCATTAAGGCACTCAATTACCCCTAAACCACTTTCCTAAGCACCCCTGTGCAAAACGGGCTTGGAAACTAGTGTGAGGTTTTGCATGCAACATGGTGGACAAAGGGGCCGGCCTGGTGGCTCACTGGTTAAGTTCTCACACTCTGTTTTGGCAGCCCAGGGTTCATGAGTTCAGATCCTGGGTGTGGATCTAGCACCACTTGTCATGTCACGCTGTGGTGGCATCGCATATAAAATAGAAGAAGATTGGCATGGATGCTAGCTCAGCTACAATCTGCCTCAAGCAAAAAGAGGAGGATTGACAATGGATGTTAGCTCAGGCCCAATCTTCCTCACACACACACACACACACACACACACAATATAAGGTGGCCCAAGAGGTTAAGAGGTAACTTTTGTTCCCACATTTTAATAAAAGTCCTTTCAAATGTAGTATGTCCAAGCAGAGGTTATTGGATAAATGCATTCTCATATTTCAGTGTGTGATAGTGTCATACTAGATGTCTTCAAATATCCTCACTTGAAAACCCTAAATGATCTCAAGTAATACAGAAACACATTTAGTCTCTCTGCAGTCAGTATTTAATTTTCTGTATTTCTAATTTAAAATCAAATATGACTGCCTTCACAGCAGCCCCAGGCTGTCACCCACTGGGCTATTAGCTTCTAATGTCTAGTGGCGGAGAATAGTGAAAACATAAAAGGTAGACCTTTACACTGGAAATCACATTTCTTGAAGTGAGAGCAGGTTCCATTCAATTTGCCCCTGACTCGATGCCTAATTCCTCAGGTTAGCAGGCTTTCATGTTTGCTCTTAGATCAGCAATATTGGAGCTGATTTTGTTGCATGGCTAAAGAGCAAAGCTTAAATTCAATAGTAAAGTTTGAAAGAAGAAAATGAGTTTGGTGTAACAGGTTTCCCAGAGCACTGTGAATGCACAGTGGGTGAGGGTCTTTGACTATCCACAAAGCACAGCCACTTTTAAAAAAAGGCAAAAATCTCCCTGAGGGTTAGTTGAGAATAGATATAGGGGCATACAGCAAGAAGTATAACATTACAAAATTTATATGAGAGGCAGGAGGGAAGAATAGAATTCCCAGGTTAAAACTATCCACACAGGCAAAGATCAGTAACCTACTTTAGTGGAAAACTATTGATTTATTCTTTTTGATCAACCAGCTCCTACTACATGTCAGATAAGTTCTAGGAGCTGGAAATACAAGAGTGAACAAGGTAGACAGACTCCGTGTCCTCATGGAGCTTCCATTCTAGTGAGGGAATCCTCAGTGGGTACAAGCAGTCAAGACATGAGGGCTGTAGAACTTTGTGAAAACACAGTCATATATATTTAATTAATTAACTTATTAACAGATTGGCAAATCCCCACCAAACTTTTGCTTCCATCTTTGTACTTTCTCTGTTTCCCAAATCTCCGTATGAACCTCTTTTACCATTACAATCAAAAAAAAGCAAAGGGCCGTCTCACCAGCTGGGGGTTTTGCTGAGACCACCGTAACGACCACTCTAGTTTGTTTTCAGCACCAAAATGAAACAAAAAAGGATAACATCATCACCCTCAGTTTCTTTGAAATGACTATAGCCGTTCCTATTGTTTCATTTTGTAATTGTGCAGAATTCCTTCAGAACATCCATCTATATTTCACAGACAGCAAATTGCTAGAAGTATCCAAACAGTACTAACAGGAAAAAAAGACAAAAACCAAAACCGACCCAATGAAAACCCACCCTCCCCAGGAGACAGACGGCACCACTTCCAGCATATTTTCCAAGCCTGCCTAGACTGTCATGTCTCCATATGACTTAGGCCTTCCCCTCCTAACCCTGCTCATTTACAAAATCACCCCTGTGGTGAGAGTATCAATACAAATTAGATTTTTCCCTTCGCTTAACTGAATGTTACAGGAAACAGAATGGAACCACATGTTTCCCTTTGATTCACACGCAAACACTGCAAAACACAGAGTCTGTGCTTCCTCCTTCAAGCTGTGTGTGCGTTAAACACATGCAAACATTGGACTGAAACGCAGACACAGTAAGTCAGCTCTGGGGAAAACCAGAGAAGTCTTTTTCGTTTCTCTAAATCTTGATCTTTTATTTGAGCTAAGTCTTTGCAGAGATTCAAAGAATGTTATTTTACAATAATTCTCCAAAGGGCAGTTAAATGTGTTTCATCCAAAATTGGATATTCCCCATATCATAACAGATCCCCTTCAGGAACTAGGAACTTACTATTAGCTCTCTCCTTATAAATTACCATCAATTTTTAATAAAGAGAGCAAAAAACGCCACTTTATATAATCGATGTGAAGGAACATAGAAGGCACGAGAGGAAAGTTTCCCCCTGCATTTCCACAAATTGCTTCTTTGTTAAAAGTGAGTGCTTGGTGAAAATAGTATATCAACAACGGATTCTCCTGTGGTGTGAACCCCAACCCTAGCAGGAAGACCAAACTTCTCTCTGAGGCATGCAGATGGAGTTCTTGTGTCTCTCTCCAAGAGAACAACCGATAGTGCAAAATAGGGAGACTTGACATCAAATTCTGTGCCCGTGGTTGTACGTGACATGAGCTGGTCAGAAGGTTTTGCATGTGCAGTGACATCTCTATGCTGTGGAGGCCAAGATCACAGGGTTGATACAGAATAGTTTACGTCACACAGTAGGAAAAGTGTGTGTGTGTGTGTTTTAAAA